TGGCTGCCCGTAGCTCTGCAGCACAGACTGGTACTGGGCTGTCAGCACATTCACCCGGGTCTTCAACTCAGGCAGGCAGTCCCGAATGTGATGCATCAGCAGCCTGGGAGGGAGGGCATCAGTAGCTTGGTCAATACACACAGCCATGACTATCTTGCCATTCAAAGAGAGGGGCCTCTTTCAAAAGAGGGATCAAAAGGGATAGGGTGATACAGTGTTTTAAGTGTTACAAAACCCTGAGACAGCAAGGTCCAAATCCCCTCTCAGGCTTAAAAAAAACACTTGGTGACCTTGGGCAAGACATACTTTCTCAGCCTCAGATGAAAGCAAATATCCTCTGAACAAATCATGCAAAGAAAATCCTAAGACAGTGTTGATATAAGTTGGAGTCAACTTGAAGATACATAACAAGGTCTTTAAAAAATGGGATATAGTTCAGAGGAGAAGAAGGCATCTGTTTTTATTGGTTGGTTGAACAATTTGGGATTCTACTTCCTGCCAAGGATCAGGGGTATGCACAAGGACACAACTATTCCATTTTATTCCCGGGTAGGTTGAACTAATATATAATGAGGAGGATATAGCTGATTGGCCAGAGATATACTGTGCATGTATCCTTCCACAGAGTACCAGCATCATAGTTAAAAACAGGACTAGCACATCCTTCAAAAATTGCAAACCCTCAAGAATAAACCAATCTTCCACAAGCTAGCACCTCTGGATACACTTGGACTACAACTCCCATAGTCCCAACCATTTGCCTGAGGCCAATGAGGGTTGTCATCCTGCACATTTATACAGGGCCCAGGGTTATGGAAGGCTGTGATAAGACTGTATTAGGCTGAACACACCAGCAGCTTCAGACAACACAAGAGAGCCTTCTGTGATTTGCCATGAGCCAAACTCTAGGTTCCATAGCTAAGCAATGCTTTGAACTAGGGAAAACCTGAATTCACAGCCAATGTCAGAATACTGTCCATTTCATCTGGTGACCAGTTCAATGAGCAGGTTAGGGCAAGACTTAGGATAGCATACGTTTCCTGCCAGGCGGATTGTACCTTGGGAAGCTGCAGTTGCAGATAAAAGAACTCCAATAGGATTCCTTCCTCTTTTTGTGTCATGCATAAAGCAGGACAAAGAGGAGCTAGCAAGTAATTTCTACTTTTACAGCATGTTTATTTCTGGGAGGGGGGTCTACCCTGATTACACATTCCAACACTGAGGTTTTAGTGCTAGCCAGGTTGGATTACTTTCTGAACCTACAAGTGCAACATGTTCAGGTATCTGAAAAGATGTTCTCTGATTTCATTTTGAGCAGAAAGCAGGCTACTAGCCCTCATGAAAGTTGAGAAACACCTGTATCTGGGTTGTTGTTTTTTAAATCAGAAAACATATAGAAAGGTGCAGTAATTTTGGTGGCTCAGCTCCTTCTCACCTATTCAGGGTTTTGGCTAGGTAGCGTGTTCCATTTCTGTTAGCAAGTGATGGGTACTTCTTCTGTAGGAAGCCTTGCTCATCTTGCAAGGACTCATTGATGCTCTTGTTGCTGTTGATATCATGCTGGCTCCTGGAAGAAAAAACAGAGGGCACAATGACAAATTTGCCAACACAAAGATACAATGAAGTCACAGTCTACAACAGGGTCAGATAATCTTCTTCCCTCCAAATATTCAGGCCTATGAACTCTGATGATTATTTGCCAGTGATCATGATGACTGGGACTGATAGGGCCTGCAGGCCCCAAAACCAAGAGGTCCCTATCCTCTACATCCCCAAGTATGTGTAACCCATACAATAGATATATAGCACTGTCTAAGAACATTCCACACTAATGTGTCATTGCTAACACAGACACACCTTGTCCTCCTCAGTGTCTCTGCCTGACTCCAGTTGTTTCTCTTCCCCTAACCCACAGAACGTACCTGTTGACCACCCCAATGATGCCCAGCTTGACTGGAATAACTCGGCCCATCAACACATCCATGGCATCTGTCCCAGCATCCATCAAGTCCAGCTTGGTGACCACAGCCAGTGTCCTTCGACCTGCAAAGAAGATCTTCCCATTACAGCAGGGCTGGGGAACCTTGGGGCCTACGACTCTCAGAGGCTCTAGCCAGTATGGACAATAATAAGAGGCTGGAGAAATTGTAGTCTCAAAACATCTGGAGGGTCAAAAATTCCCAAGCACTACATTACAAACCTCCCTACTGGCTGAAAAAGAGGGAAAAAAGAGACCCAAGCTGCTCCTTTATCATCCTGCCTCTCCATCTCACTTTTGCTCTCTCCCTCCCCTTGTCTCTTCTCCATTCCCATCACTCCCACTCTCATCCATCCAGAGTTGACCTTTAAGGGCAAACACACAGCATTCCAATTGGGCAAGAGAACATATCTCCTCCTGTCCCAACACACGTAGAGGGCCATCGCTCCAGCAAAGAGATCTTAACTCCAGTCTTCTGTGACTCAGCCCACAGGGCCCAAGCACTTATCACCTGACTTCCAACATACTCCCTTCATAGTGCAACATGCCCAGGTGGCCATACCATCAGGGTCAACATCTCGTGCGAGTTTTAGCGCCTCTGATGTGGCCATGTCAGTGTTGGCAGCAGTCACAGCCAGGATCAAGCAGTTTGGGTTGGAGATGTAGGACTGAATCATATCACGAACCTGAACCTCAATATCTGGGGGCTGATCCCCAACAGGCACCTGAGAAACAAAGCAAAGGTGGGAATTACTGTCAAGCTAAAGAAGACTCCCAGGACTACTCAGTCCTAGAGGGTTTTCCCTCCAATTTCAATACAGATTAGCACACTGACAGAGGCCTCAATTCAACAGGGCTTTACTGTTGTTGTTGTGCATTCAAGTCATTTCCTACTTATGGTGACCTTATCATGGAGTTTTCTTGATATGTTTCTTGAGCAGGGGTTTGCTATCGCCATCCTCTAAGGCTGAGAGAGTGTGACTCTCCCAGGATCACCCAATGGTTTTGTGGCCAAAGTGGGAATCAAACCCTGGTTTCCAGAGTCACAGTCCAACACTCAAACCACTACACCAGACTGGCTCCAAAAGAATTTTAGTGTACTGTTAAAAAAAATAACAAGACAGGTGGACATATGCATCATAGCACAATGCACGAAGAGCACAGCCACAGGAGTAAAGGGGCAGCATTGCATAGTGGGTATTGCACTGTATGCGTTATGTGCATGCTGCTGACTAGGATCATTGCACATTTCTGCTGAATGTGTCCATTGCACAATGTAATGATTCATAGTTCTCTGCCTTCTCCACCGTCTGCTGAATTTGTCCATGTGCAGTTTTAAACTCTTTGCTCTGCATTTGTAGAACAGTTCCTGAAAAATCAGGCTGATGCAGGGGTAACTGTCATAATGCACTAAGCACTGAACCAAGAGAACATTGTTATTGTTGTTGTAAACTACCCTCAAGTCAACCCTGACTCATGGCCGCCCTGTGGATGAGACAGCTCCAAGACCCTTTGTCCTTCACTGCTGTGCTCAGGTCCTGCATGCTCAGGCCTGTGGCTTCTTTGACTGAGTCTAACTATCTGGCATGTGGTCTTCTTCTCTTTCTACTGCCCTTTACCTTTCCATCATTGTCTTTTCCAATGAGTTGTGCCTTCTCATGATGTGGACAAAGTACAACATCCTCAGCTTAGTCAGTGACATCCCTAGGGTTGGTGTCACCTGGTGGGGTAAATCATGGTCACACACACTGACCTCCTTCCATCCTACACCACACAGAATCCTTAGTAATGTTTTTTGTACTGATGTTACTCCCAACTCATAATTCCCATTTATCAATGAATATAACAGTAATAATTGTGACATAAACAACTAGCACAATTCAAACTATACTTTTAAATTACAATATCACACACGCAACTTAAATGTATTCACTTACCAAAGTGAAAATTTGATAAAATGTGATGTTTTTAAAAAAATAATTAAAAAAAATAATAGAAATTAATTTTTGAAATTTCAATTTCTAATTTTTTTTAAAACCTGAGGCTTCCTGTTTCTCCTCCCACTGAGCCTCACCTCACTCACACCATCTCTTCAGTGTTTTAATGAGACAAAGGTGAATATCACAGCCTGCCAGCTCCTATAACCTCTAGCCAGCTTAATTAATGGAAGTCGTAACCATCATCTCTATGTTAAACTGTTGTCTCTTGTTTTTCCATTCCAGTTTGGCAAGAGCTATATCAAATCAGAAGAGAGGGATGAAGAGCATGGAACTATTAGTTTGTACCACTGACTCTAGGAAGAGAATCCAAGTTTTACAGGAGAGCAGAAAGGAAAGGAGGGAAAGACTACTGGTTAATATACCTGTAACTCAGTAAATCTGATGTACAATAGGCTCTCAATATCTGTGGGCTTGCCATCTGTGGATTTAACCATCCATGGATGGCAAGCCCCGTTACTTTCAATGGGGATGCATGTCACGCCCGGTATTAAATCCATGAGACTTGAGGTCCTGCATTTTTTTTACCCGGGGGGGGGGTCCAGAATGGATCCCCCTCTGATACGAAGGGCAGAATGTACATGCTAGGAATGTGCCAGGCCCTAACTGTGCTGTCTGGTATCCAGTGATGGCAAACCTTTTAGAAACCAAGTGCCCAAACTCAGTGGCATTCCCACACAGAGTATCACCAGGTGCCAGGGGCGGAACTTCCAGGGGCAAGATCGCGGCTGAAGTCAGAGGTCCAAACACACTGCATAAATAATCCAGTCTGAAACCGCTTTAATTGCCCTGGCTCAGTACTAGGGAATCCTGGGAATTATAGTTTATTATGGCACCAGAGCTCTCTGGCTAAATATCTCACCAATCTACAAATCCCAGGATCCCATAACATTCAGCCCAAGCAGTTAAAGCAGCGCCAAACTGGATTATTTCTGCAGTGCAGATACAGCCCTAACACCAATGGCTGAATATCATTATTTTGTGGATTTGGGATGTTACTGTACTTTGCTATATGGCCACGAAGAGCCAGCACAGTGTAGTGGTTTGAATCTTGGACTACAGCTCAAGAGACCAGGGTTTGATTCCCTGCTCAGGCAAGAAACCCACTGGCTGACTTTGGGCAAGTCACACTCTCTCAGCCTCAGGGGATGTCAATGGCAACCTCCTCTGAACAAATCATGCTAAGAAAATCCTGTAACAGATTTGTTGTGTTTGGGACACCAATGTAGTGTAGCGGTTTGAGTGTTGGACTAGTCCTCTGGGAGATCAGGGTTCAATTCCCAATGAAGCCACAGAAATCCACCAGGTAACCTTGGGCAAATCACACTCTCTCAGCCGCAGAAGGCAATGGCAACCCCCTCTGAACAAATCTACATTTGTACATCCTACATTTCAAGCTTCTGTCTAGGAGGAATCTCAAAATGTCCTCCCTTTGAGCATGACTAAGAAGCATTAATTTATATTCATATTAAGTGATTGTAGCTTAAGTTTTATATTAAGTGTTTTTTTAGTCCAATGTTTTTCTTGAATATCCAACCTTTTGTGGTGCCTTGTCCTCCTTTGCTCATGACCTACATTTTCCCCAGTTTGTCTGACATTTTGCAGGGCCATGTCCTTCTTTGTGCTTAAGCGACCAGGCGCCCTCCTTTTCCAGGACACATACAACATTTCAACCTTCTGTCCGGAAGGAATGGCAAACTTCTCTGATGAAACTTGCCCAGAAAAGCCCCAGAGTGAGTCACCAAAATGACTTAAAGGCACAGACACACCCCAAAACCACACTCTCTCAGCCTCAGAAAACAAAAATGGCAAACCTCCTGATGAAACAGGCCCAAAAAGCCCGAGAAGAAGGTCTCCAAAATAAAGGCACATAGCACATACACACACACATCTAGGAGAAGGAGGAGGAGAAGGAAATGGTGTCTCCCAAGACTGTGCCTCACATTGGCGTGGGGCTTTCAACCCTCCTTGTTGCGGCTTTGTTTTCTGTGGGAGAAGCAGGCCGCAGCAAGGAGCCGGGCCGGCTGCATGAACCTCCCCACCCCTCCTTCCTGTGGCCACCACGTGCCCGACATGCGTGCCATGCGTTTGCTACTATGGGTCTAGACAATAGCCTTCAACCCAGAAACATTAGCGTTCACTTAAAGAAAAGAGGAAATAATGGTTCTAATCTTCATGGCTACAGAAAAAAATCCTGAAAAAAATAATTGCAGTTTATTTCAGCTTAAAATTAGGAGTTATTTAAACCACAAAGTACCACAAACACTGTTAAAGATTCAAGCGGAATCATAGTGGCATTTAAGCTTTTCTTTTAGTATGCACTTAATATAAATATAAAGTTATGCTTCTTAGTCATGCTCAAAAGGGAGGACATTTTGAGATTCCTCCTGGACAGCTTCTGGACAGAGGATAACGTCTAAACACAGCATTAGCCCATTTGTGCCAAATGATCCACCCTATTAAAAATAATACTACCATTCTTGCTTTGCACAAAGGCCAGGGGGAGAAAACTTTTCATTTGCTTTCAGCTCCTTTCAAATTACAGGAGACGTAAGTGAGTGCCTCTCTTAGGTATCCCTCAAATTCTAGAACTGACTCTGGCTGATGCAAAGCTACCAGCCTGCAGGCCTAGTTCAGCCTCCTTGACCAGGAATTGGCCCAAATGACTAAAACAGAAGTCCCATTAATAAAGGAGATGGTCCCATTTGCACAGGACATGAAAGAGCTCACAACTGGGCATAGGGAGAAGAACTTCATCATAGCTTGCATAACCCACAGCTTGTTCAGTACCTCTACCCCCAATCAACTGGGATATTTTCATGCAGGAGAGAAACAATTCTGCTGAAATTCTATCTTCAAAAATCAATATGAAAAGAAAATTATTGTAAATTAATTCAATACCCCAATCCCAAATCCACTGATTTTCCCCACTTCAACACTTTGTTCTTTTCCCCCAGCCCTCCCACACCTGCTATTTGCCAGTCTAGTAAAGCAACAAGAGTGGAGACAAGAAGGGGCAAAGTGAGGGGATGAGGGGAAAGGTGGAGATGCAGAATCTCTCCTCTGAACTCTCTCCATGACTTTGCCCATTAGCACAAGGGCAAGAAGTGCTACATCAACAGCTGACTGCTGTTCACTGGGAAGTCTACCAAAGCAGTCAGTGCCTCCCTAGGTCTCTCTTTCAATGCTGGAGGCCATTTCCAGTGCTTCCTACCTTGGTGATTCCTGGCAGATCAACAAGAGTCAAATTCAGCACATAGGGGGAGTAGATCTTCAGGTACAGGGGCTCTGGGCTGATTCCCTACAAACAGAAACATACAAACCTGAGAGTGAGAGAAGAGCTGTGTGAGAGCAGGGAAACCAGGTGGGGTGCTCAGGAAGTCGATACCTTACCTTATTGGTCCCAGTTGTCCGCTCAGTCTCAATCTCGATCTCCTGCCGGATCTCGCTGAAATCAGTAAATGTCTTGTGAAAAAGAAAGAGCTGAATGAGTCAGGGCTGCCATATTCAAATCCCAAAAGCAGTTTTATTGCCTCTGAAAAGAGGCTGCTGTTACATGTTGGTTTCCACCAAGGAGCTAGAAAGTAACATATGTGGCCTTCCTCCTCATTTTCATTCATACAAAAAAACTTGTAAGGTGCCTTAGGCTAAGGGACTGGCCCAAAGCCAGCTACGTATCCCCAACTGATCATTATTTTTTGAAAAGAAATGCAACATCTCTAGATTACATTTTAGCAATCTGAGCTAACAGAAAAACCTGGTACTCCACATATTCTGTAAAACAACAGCAACCTTCTTCCAAAAGCAGGAGAAAAGAGGTCAAAGATGCAAGAAAACATTCAATAAAAATGAAAGGAAATGGTCCGGATTGTCAAGCATCAACAAAGAGCAACTTGGCTTCCATTCTACCCATACGGACTCAAAAGTGATTCCTATTCAAAACAATAAGCTTACTCTCAAGTAAATATGGTTAAGATTTAGTCAGCTAGGAGGAAGGCATGACAAAAGGGAAGGGAAGCAAAACTATAAAAATATTTAGCACCATAATTTGCCAGAATTCTCCCTATGCTTGCACAGAATGGCATGGGGCTTGGGAGCACAACATTTTAAATGCTGAGAAGGAAGGCTTCTCGCAGTGAGAGGAGTGCTACTGAAGGCCTGTAAACACATCTTGGGTCTGCTAAAGATTCCTTATTTGTTTTCATAGCACATACAGATGTCAAAAAGCATACAAAGGGTTCAAAGCAAAATAAGAAACCGAACGTACATCATCTAAAAAATTGAGATATACAGAAGGGAAGCAAAAGAGGGGACAGGAGAAGAAAAGAACAGCAAAATGAAACTCCACACCAGGGGTAGGCAACCTTTCCCCTTTAAGGGCCGAGGGACTTCAGCTCCCAGAAGCCTCAGCCATGTTGGCCAATAGTCCCATGTTGGCCAATAGCTCCTGGGATTCTGGGAGCTGAAGTCCCTCGGCCCTTAAAGGGGAAAGGTTGCCTACCCCTGCTCCACACCATCTGGAAGACTGACTACTTCTATCTTATACTCAGAATTTTAGACGTTTTTAAAGAATTCCTCCCCCCAATCCACACCTGGGAATAAAAGGGATATTGTTCCATAATAAAGAAAACATTAAGACATTTTTTAGTCAACAAAGTCAACAAAATTAACAGTGAAAGGGAACACAATGATAATGGAGAAGTAGTATACATGTGAGTAAAATTCCCTTGAAAACTAGAAGGGATTCTCAACATCAGGAAAGAAGGCAGACTAGACATGTCCTCAGTCTAGGCCTCCAGCCTTGTTTATTTTCCTTGTTTATTTTCCTCCACCACGGTGACAGTAGGGAATCCCTCCCTTAAAGAAGATTGAGGAAACAAGGCAACAAAGCTGAAAAGGGCCATGGGAAATCATCTCTCCACCATCATTTTCAACCAAGGAATATGTTCTTATTTTGATTTATGTTGCAGGAAGGAACTGCTCTTCCTCCTTGAGGTTTGCCTGAAGTACTGCCTCTTATTCCCACTTTGCACAAGAGAATGGAAGCTTTTCACAGCATTAATTTGTATAGAATGTGTGAAGATGGCTGCCATTTTAATACAAACTTGTTTGTGTCACAGAGGAGAGAGACAATTGCTCCCACCCACCAGACTTTGATGTCCCAAGATTGAGGGACAAAGAACTGCATGCCTCCAGGGGAAGAGTTCCTCCAGTCACCCTGAATTGCCTGCATTTGGGCATGCAAAACAGCTGCCTGTCCTGCCTATGGCTCTGAATATCAGGAGAGCATTTGACATCTCGTAGTATGTACCTTGTGCTTGCAATGAAGGAAGGTGGCCCACTCATCAACCTGGACACCTGCAGACCAAGAAAGACAAAGTACAAGATGTCCAAAAGTCTCATCATCATCCACCACCACCATCACCCCACAACATGTGGTATTGCTGCCCCAAAATGTTTCTCCAGAGCTATGAGCAAATTGAGAGAGAAGAAGCTCCATTGACCTTGCTAACTTCCAAAAATAGAAGAACCAGCAACCCAGACTTCACTGGAAAGGTCACAGACTAACCTACCTGACTCACTTCTCCTATGACCAGTCTTGGACACTCTACCCCCTGTTCCACTTCCTTTCTGTCTCTCAGTTGCTCCATGCATTTTGCCCTTTAAAAGCAATTCATTCAGAAGCCCTAACTTCAGATGCTTGTGGGTCAGTTGTGCTTACTCAGTGATGGACTGGCAATCTGCACATGCTTAATTATGTGTTTGATTTGGTTCAACTGAAGACATCAAGGCTGAGCCCCAATATTCACAACTAGTACTCTGAGGACAAAGCCCAAATCAAGCCCTCATAGAGTCTTTACTGTAGACTTCATCAACCCAGTCATCTCAGATTTTAACTGGACACACTCTTTCATTATGAATATGGCAATAACATTAAATCTCCTACAAAGTCTATCATTCCACAACTCCAAAAAATGTACCAACAATATAAAAAGCAGAAAAGCCATCCTTGAATATAACCCTAGAAAATGATGTGTAAAAAGAACAAGGATGGCACTGTCTGGAGCCACGCTCATCATGCTGGAATATCTAACAT